TCCCAGAAAATGTAATATGCAATGCTTAGAAATACAATTATCACAGTGATCTCAATATTAGTGTAAGAATTCAAATGTATAAAATGAATGGTCAATTGGTTATCAGTCTGAATGAAAAATGTATACCAGGGAATGTGATGTTGGAGATTGAGACTTGTCCATTTTCAAGGTGGGGTGGCAAATACATCTCTTTATTACTGACTACCATTGGATCATCAGTTTCTGCATCCCGAAACATCCATGGATGTCCTGACAGAAACAGAAAAACAGAAGCAGAAAGATGTTAAAATAGATCATTGCACTACTTAACCCATATTCAGTTACATAGACTATATATTTCAGATAGTCCTTTTTTGGCATTAATAGGTAAAAAACAAACAAACATGAAACCAAGATGTAAATGGATTCGAATCACTTACAATGGGGTCAGGTGTTAATTTTTAAGTGGTTTCTCCGGAGACTAAAAATCACTTTTGGGAAAACAGCTCAGCTGTGTCCATGTACTCTTTGTTAGTTCATGCTATCAAACCAAACACTTCGGTGTTCTGAACAGTTTGTTTTGCCTGGTGCAGAACATTTTTGTTGAGCCATTTTGTGCATTGACTGGCATAAAACATGGATAAGGAGTAGCAGGCTGAAAATAGTAACCCTAAACAAGTCAAACGTCTCAGACAGTAATTTTCCAAATGTATTTAGACCATAATACAATATCAAACCAAACACTTCGGTGTTCTGAACAGTTTGTTTTGCCTGGTGCAGAACATTTTTGTTGAGCCATTTTGTGCATTGACTGGCATAAAACATGGATAAGGAGTAGCAGGCTGAAAATAGTAACCCTAAACAAGTCAAACGTCTCAGACAGTAATTTTCCAAATGTATTTAGACCATAATACAACAATAATCGTACGAACCCACATAAGTTTCCATTCTTTTTCCGGTGTACGGCTGAATATCTACGTATGGCTGCGGCTCCCCACGGAAGTTGATCCAGACGGGCTTTACAACTCGCGGACTGCGGTTACAGAACACCACGTGCGCCGGTATCCGGCTAACCAGAGATCGGACCAGCGGCAGCGGTTGCTGCCCCTCCGGAGATTCCTGAGGCATCGTCAAAGACAGGACAAGACCAATTCAAAGATACGAACACTAGCTACGCTGCATACAAATAAATACACAAACTAACGTTAAAGTTCGCTTCTACATCGAACTCATAAGCCACGGCCCAAAGCATCAGGGAATGGAGGGAACAGAGTGTGTCCGTGACTGTCAACATTTGTCTGTACAGCTTGTCGTCGTTTGTTGTGATTGCGTAATCATGTGAGAGCCAGTGAAGACGACAGCGCGGCTCCTAGCGACACCTCCCTCTGGTGGTTTGTTCGGGAATGAAAACATGACGCATGTGCTCGAAATGAAACATTAAATTATTACAATACTGTTTACGTCTCTTTAAAAAAAAGTGGCATATGAAATAGTAGGAATTATGCAAAACAGACGTTTCAAACTGTAGTATTGTGATATGGCAATGTTTGGATTAGTAGACTATATTTCTA